TTGTTTATCAACAGTTACATTATTTGCATGGTGGTAGCACTTAGTGGCTCTAAGCCATGTATCACAGCACCATTGTGCTAAGTGCTGTAAAACAACACAGTTGCGGGACAAGAGCTGAGGATGACAAAATTCAACTAAAGTTACTTATTCTACTGGTGTTACTTGGAGTGTCAAGTAGAATAAAAAGACAAGGAGGTAGAAAATAAAGCAGGATTATGTGAATGAGCTTGGGCATCAATTATTAATCTCAACCAAGAACTTTATTTAACAAACAACACAATAAAAAACACAGAATGCTTCAAGACACAGACAAATTTTAAAAATACACACTTTCAAATTACAAAGGAATACGTGAGGGGGCAGCATCTATATTTAAATATTCAAGCATCACCGCTGAAAGGGATTCACCTGTGTTACCAACAGTGGTTAGAATGTACAAGCTTGATTTTCAACCTTTTTAAAACCTCACCCCAACCTAAAAATAGGGAAAGGTTTCAGGCCCCCCAATCTAGCCATCAAAAGAAAGAGGGTGGGTGTCACACCCTTAGACCTAATTGTGACCCCTGAGTTGCGAGTCCATCATGATCAGTGCTTAGTACAACAGGACCCTAGGCCTGAGGCCTCCAGGCAGAACCGAGATATAAATTTTAGGTGGCTCAAAAGAAAAGCTGCTCCTGGCCTCTCCATCCCCCACGACGTCTCTTTGTGCTGAGGGGGCTGTGTATCTCCTGAGTAGTTCATACCCCCTAAAGTACCATTCTGGCTGGGGCCTGGGAACCCCATGAGGGCTTCTTCCTCCCAGCTCCTAGAGCAACTGCCAAGATTTCCACAAGTGATTTTGCGTGCCTGGTTTGTATGAAAAGGGCTGTACTTGCGGGGGTGGGGGAGAGGGGTGTTGAGCCCTTGCTTTAACAACAGGCCCCTGGGGGGGTGTCACGTTGGGACTCCAAAACTGAGGCATCATAAATCACTCGTCACTGCTGAAGGCCTTGGCCACTTGCTCTAGGTTCACTGGGGCTGGAGCAGTCACCTCCCCCTCCCCAGTTATTCTGGGTTGCTGCCTTCCCAACCAATTCATCCACCCCCAACATCATTTTCCCCTTGCAGCGCCCTGACCTAGGCTGGGAGTCAGGAGGAGATGGGGTGCTCCTGCATTGTCTGGATAGGCTACAGGCTGTGGTTGCTGCTGGCTCAAGGAGCTGCCCTCGCCCCCTTTGAGCCCGGGCTAGGCTATTGCTCTGGCTCCAGTCTGGCCTCACCTCTCCCACTTGCTGGTCCACAGCTGCTGTGGCCAGCTTGGCCGTACAATGGACTAGTGACCATGAAGCGACGCTGTTGTGCAGCTCTCCAGCGCAGCTGCAGCCACACAGAACACATGGGCTGGGCAGGGTAGGACAGGAGCAGCCAGCCCAGCAGGGCAGAGGAGAAGTGAATGATCAAAATTAATCTCACTTGTTATGGCTCAGACTAGATTTTGACTGTTTCAATAGGTTTCTGTAGTTACAACTCTTGAGATGGGGGGTGAGTAATACTGTCCAAGGAGGGCAGTTTGGCATTTGCTTTCAAGTAGAAGGCCCTTAGTTCAGGCTGTGGTCAGTTATGCCCAAATAATGCCCCACTGTTAGGGACCGTTGGTTAAATAGTTATTAGACAGCAGGCTGTAGGATTTTCTGAGTCCAAAACTTTATTTTTTTAATAGCCCTAGCACTGAACAAACAAGCCTCAGGTGAATGCAGTAGCAGGGGAAGTGCATGTAACTTCCAATTTGTGTCAGTATACCTAATGTTCCAATCAACTAAGTAGCAATGCTTCAGCAGTGATAAAAAGGTCCAGCAAAAGACTCATGGCACCACTGAAAAGCACTGTAAGGAAAGAAGGTACATTGCTGCGGCTGAGTAGCCAGTATACTAGAAATGTTATTTCTAGTGCAGTATATAACAGTTCCCCCTGCTTTATCTTCCTTCATAGCCCATCACAGATATTGCTGTCAATTACCTCAGACACTAGCTGGAAGCACATGTAATAAAATAAGATTATATACCTACCTTAGGTGATCAGTCACTGTGACACTAAATGTTTTTAGTAAGTCGTGTCAATCAAAGCCTGTCTACAGATATATGTAAGGCAACTGGTTTAGAGAGAAGCTGTTTTGTTTCTAAACAAAACTATTTTTGACATTTAAATGGCACACGCAAGTGCAATCCACACTACCGAAAGAGCTAAATTTTAAAATCTACAAATCCAGCATGTTGCAGTTTAATAGATATGACTTGTCTTTTGCATACCTATTTCTCTGGAAGGATAATCTTTTCAGTTCCAAAGCATATTTCTAGCAGATTTCATTATAACAATAAAACAATATAACAGCATGGTGGCAAAGCCTCCATCACCATATTAAAATTCTAAATCAGATGTGGTGCTCTTCCTTGCAGTCTTTAAAACAAAGAGATGAACATCTGAAGGGACAGAGAGAATCATTTGCAAGCGGCAACGTACTATCTAACAAGTTGTGTTTGGAAAGTATTCCAATTACCATTTAAGGATTGCGTTTCAAAACACCAATTTGAAAGAAAATAACTCTATAATGAAAACAGAAGAGCATTGTTGATCAAAATGTGGAAAATAACCGTATCAAGATGGCTCTGAAGAAGTAATTAGTTCTGCGTTTTGCATATTTAATCAAAATAAACAAAATGATCTTGCCCCATGTTGTCATGGGTGAAGGTCAAGCCTAGTTTTCATCATGTTTTTATACAAATGCAATAGTGTCTTCATGGCAAATAGATGGCTCATAATTTCAGGGATTAAAGGCAAACAGTTAAACTACCAATTTCACACAACCAAAAGAGCACTGCTGATCTTTCAGCGTATTAGGCATATTAGTGTTATGTTGGAAACTAGACTGTTTTTTGTGAAGCGGGGGGGGGGGAGGGGGGCAAATTTTATTCTGTTTCATAAACAGGAAATATTTCATAGTATTAATGCTTTGTTAGTGACTGTAATACATCAGCCGCTATGAGGGACGCCTAGCTTCTCACAGTGTGAGCCAAAAAGCAAATCGTCAGATTATGGGTGCTTAAGTACTGTACTGGGGATGAATTTTGTGAAGCCATCAGCGTGAACTTTTCTAGGTAATGAATCCTCCAAAAGATCCTTCTGCACAGTTACATCATTGAAATGTAGCATGTTTTTATCTAGTGATTTAAAAACAAAAACAAAACAAAAAAACCCACACCATCCTGCTGGTTAGAGCCATAGCTCTATCTCAGGCTTTGAAGCTCTAGAAGTATTGTTGACTTTTTCAAAGAATAATTTTAAACCAAGTGCAGTTTTCAGCCTAAATTTAGCAAAAGGTATTTTTTCAACCAATTATAATTTTGAGTCACAGCAACATGAATGGCTTTTGGGGGGGGGGGGTGAGTTTACAGACCCTTTCAGGTGTTGGCTTAACAATCCATTTGCCACACAAGAGGTTCAGTTGGGCAACATTCCCTCCACTGTGCATTGAATACCTGATCGTGGTAACCTCCATGCAAGTGAGGCAATAGTTCAGTCTCCATGAACAGTCACACTTTTCTATATATTCAGTGGCTAGTAGCTTTTTTTGCCTCTCTCTACTGGGAACTCAACAGAGCAAAGAGCTATCTGATAATTTACTCTTAGCACCCTGAATAGGATTTGAAATGCAACTTGCAGGTGAAATGCTCCATATGAGTTACAAATAATCAGCAATTCTAATGAGAAAAACTGCCAGAAATAATTGGTATGCATCTTATTTCCAGTGGATATCAATACAATTAAGTGCACAATTTAGATTTACAATTCTGAAATCCATTAACTGTCCAGACAGATAACACTTGTATTTAAATGAAGTGGGTTAAGTTTTTTCTTTAAATGAAGAGGAACAAAGAGTCGGTCAGATTTTGCTATCCCATTTTCTCCCTCAATACTATCTATTCTAAGTATTTCACACTATTTTGAACGAACACTGAATTTCATACTAGTCTACATCATATGTACTGGCAAATGCAGAGATGCCAGCATTAAATAACATAGACTATTGAAGGCATTTCATTAATGTGGCGCAGAGTTTTATCGGTCTATAGATAACACATCAGAAATACTTACATTACAGAGATTTACAATTATAATATGCATAATTTCTAACTTTCCAGCTGCATATTTTAGCATTTTTTCATATTCCTTTCATCATTCCTACGGTGTGCACCAAATAATGCTAAATATTTTATGTACATCTTTTTCTCGAGAATGTCACCTGATTTTCATGAAGTCTGGCTCAGAATCAATGGGCCTAAAAATTCATGTCCAACTGTGCACCATGTCTGTGTGCGCTGTTAGCATGATTGCCTGGAGAAAGAGGACATTGGTTGGATTTCAGGCACACTTAGAGTGTAAGAAATTAAACCAAAAGCATTTGTAAGATTTATAAATTTTATTTACACATGGGCCAAGGCTTCTAGGACCCCATACGGCAGGACCCATGGATTGGTATGCAACCTTTATCCTCCACAAACAGCCTACCAGCATGCAGTCACACCCTGAGTGTCTGTGTATAGCTGCAGCCTGCTAGCCACACATCGGTCACACTGTGGTTTCAACCAGCCTTAGTCACCACTTGCACACCCAACATTCCCAGTCCCGGATTTCCCCAAAAACGTGTGTTCTGCACTGTCCACCCCTTTCCTGGGCAGTCCAGATATATTAGGTCCATTGCCCCTCTAAGGGGATCAATATACAACAGTTTGCTACCCCAAATGGAGTTACCCACACACAGTTCACAACACTGGATTAGTTCTGATTAAAGAATAAAACAATTGAACTACAAGAAGATCGTTTTTTCTCCTGACTTTCTCAAGCTGGCTTGTTTTTTAAAAGGGAAAGAAAAAACACTTGAGACATACACAGTAAATGAATAACATTAAAAAGAAGATGAAACCTCAGGTTAAGATTTTGTAGCCAATTTATTTCACTTAAAGGTCCCAGCTTATAGCTTATCTTGTTTTAGGAGTCCAACAACAGAACATGCTTATTATTTTTATTTAACCCTGTTTTCCTCTCAAATGTAAGTATTGTTTGCACTATGGCAACCCTAGAAAAATCAGTTCTAGTCCACTAAATCTCTCGCCAAACAATTAAAGTATCTTGTCAGCAATAAGTGTAAACTTCAGCAATTCTTATTACAAACATCAGCAGCTGAGGAAATAGCATTTTATATCCAAGTGTATAGAAGACAAAACAAGATATGTTCCTTTAGCTTTCAGCCAAATGTCCATATGATGTATAGCTGTCCAGCTGCAACATAGCTCAGCTCTCAGAGTGTTTTGAAGCATTAATGAGCCTCTGACGCATCTCTTCAGCATGTGCCTGGCTCTTGGCTCGGTTTTCTTGGTACTGGAAGACAAGGAAATAAATGAATAATAGATAAATTATGTCACTGAATTTAAAATGCAGCACAGGTTTATCACTTGGGAAGAAAACAAGTGTTTTTGCTTGACAAATTATTAGGGCTGTCAAGTGATTAAAAAAATTAATTGAGCGATTAATCACACTGTTAAACAATAATAGAATACCATTTATTTAAATATTTTTGGGTCTTTTCTACATTTTCAAATATATTTATTTCAATTACAACACATAATACAAAGTGTAAAGTGCTCACTTTATATTTATTTTTGATTGCAAGTATTTGCACTGTAAAAAAAAGAAATAGTAGTTTTCAATTCACCCAGTACAAGTACTGTAGTGCAATCTCTTTATCATGAACAATTATGAACAAAAAACTGCATTCGAAAATAAAACAATGTAAAACAATGTACAATTTTAGAGCCTGCAAGTCCACTCCGACCAACTTCTTGTTCAGCCAATTGCTCAAACAAGTTGCAGCAGATAATGTTGCCCGCTTCTTGTTTACAATGTCACCTGCAAGTGAGAACAGGCTTTCGCATGGCACTGTTGTAGCCAGCGTCGCAAGATATTTACATGCCAGATGCGGTAAAGATTCATATGTCCCTTCATGCTTCAACCACCATTCCAGGTGGGGGCCTTCGTCCATGCTGATGACAAGTTCTGCTCAATAACAATCCAAAGCAGTGCGGACCGACGCATGTTCATTTCATTATCTGAGTCAGTTGCCACCAGCTGAAGGTTGATTTTCTTTTTTGGTGGTTCAGGTTCTGTAGTTTCTGCATCTGAGTGTTGCTCTTTTAAAACTTCTGAAAGCATGCTCCACACCTTGTCCCTCTCAGATTTTGGAAGGCACTTCAGATTCTTAAACCTTGAGGTGAGTGCTGTAGCTATCTTTAGAAATCTCACATTGGTACCTTCTTTGCATTTTGTCAAATCTGCAGGGAATGTTCTTAAAATGAACAACATGTGCTGGGTCACCATCCAAGACTGCTATAACATGAAATATATGACAGAATGCAGGTAAACCACAGAGCAGGGGACATACTATTCTCCCCCAAGGAATTCAGTCACATATTTAATTAACGCTTTTTTTTTTTAACAAACGTCATCAACATGGAAGCATGTCCTCTGGAAGGTGGCTGAAAAGCATGAAGGGGCATACGAATGTTTATCATATCTGGTACATAAATACCTTGCAATGCCACTACAAAACTGCCATATAAAATGCCTGTTCTCACTTTCCGGTGACTTTGTAAATAAGAAGAGGGCAGCATTATCTCCAGTAAATGAAAACAAACTTGTTTGTCTTAGCGATTGGCTGAACAAGAAGTAGGACAGTGGACTTGTAGGCTCTAAAGTTTTACGTCATTTTGTTTTTTTAGTGCAGTTATGGAACAAACAAAAAAATCTACATTTGCAAGCTGCACTTTCACAACAAAAATTGCACTACAGTACTTGTACAAGTTGAATTGAAAAATACTATTTCTTTTGTTTATCATTTTTAGAGTGCAAATATTTGTAATAAAAATACACTTTGATTTCAATTACAACACAGAATACAATATATATGAAAATGTAGAAAACATCCAAAATATTATAACTGCGATTGTGATTATTTTTAATCGCGATCAATTTGGTTTAGTTCATTCCGTGAGTTAACTGCGATTAATCGAAAGCCCTACAAATTATGCTTCCATTGACAACATTATTTTCATTATTTCATGTTTTTATTGACTCAGTTTACTTTAAAATTAACAAAGGGTCTGTTTCATAATAAAGAGCATTTTTCTCAGTCTGAAACGAGTACAAAAACTGAATAACAATTCTAGTAAGAGTACAGCATACATACAGCAAGAGTACAGCAAGGAGGAAACTTATCTACCAAGCCATCTCACGGATGAGAAATATAGCTATCTTTGGATCACGAAGATACTTAAAGAGGTGCACCTGTGTAGAAAGTAAGCACCATGCCAAGGCACTGCTCCAGACAATTCCTCCCTAAGGCCTTGGCTACACTGGCAATTCACAGCGCTGCACTTGCTGCGCTCAGGGGTGTGAAAAAACACCCCCCCTGAGCACAGCGAGTGCAGCGCTGTAAAGCGCCAGTGTAATCAGCGCCTGCAGCGCTGCACGCTCCCTCGCAGCGCTGCAAGCTATTCCCCTCGGAGAGGTGGAGTACTTGCAGCGCTGCGAGAGAGCTCTTGCAGCGCTGGCGGCGCGACTACACTCGCGCTTCATAGCGCTGCCGCGGCAGCGCTGTGAATCCGCGAGTGTAGCCAAGGCCTAATGATAAGATGTAGATGCAGAAAGTAGAGGAGCCATCCTGGACATGAAGTTGTCCTCTTTGTAACTTAAGTATCTGTGATCCACACATAACTACATTTCTAAGCCAAAAAGATAAGACAGCTTTATGCTCCTGCTGGTATATTTTGTCAGACAGATGATGGTTATAAATTGGGCTCAGAAGGATTAGATTTTTATTGGTAACTGTCGGAAAACAACAATTTCACACACGGGTTGCCGAAAAAAATATTTTCATTGATAACTGAAATTTACAGATAGGCAAGGTAACAAAAATACTGTTGGAGCACTTAGTCTGATTTTAAAATATTTACTTTGTATATCTGGACATGTGATGATGACAATTTGTGTTTTGTTATAAAGCTTTAACTTGTTGAATCTCAAAGTATATTGTCATTAAATAATTACTGTCTGATCCCACTCTCAATTTCCCGCAACTGTGAAAATTTAAGTTGAATAGAAAAAAATGCTTAAAACAAACATCGCTATTATCTGCAAAAATTATAAAAAACAATCTAATTCTGCCTAGCCTAGTCATAACGTTCCTTTAGCAGCCCAATGGCTGAGCAACACATTCCCTCACAGCATTCTGGACGTTAACAGGAGCCAGCCTGCTAGGACACGCCATATTAACAGAACCTCCCCGCAATGACATCTAAAGCCTTGTTTTCAGCTTAAAGGGTCCAATGATCATGACCAGATGCCTGACAATGTCCCATTTCAAAAATTTATCTCTCAAGTGTTACTGTTGATCTCAGCTGAGCCAGAAACAAATTGGAATAACCCCATGAAGTTCATGCAGTCTGGAACAAATGCACAAGAGATTTGGCCATCTTCAGTGTCTTGGATGACCACAACAGACAGTCTTGGTGACCAACACCAGAACTGGCAAGAGCTCAATAAACTCAGGTAGGAACTTGTAGCCTACATAATTCAATTCTCAAGTTCATTTTATTCCAAGACATTCATTCACATTTAAATAAATTCCAGACATGTCTGATGACATGGCACAAGTAAGACCACACCTAGAACACTGTGTACATTTCTGGGTACCCCAGCGCACAAAGATTTGATACATTTCAGGAAAGAACAACAACAAAATCAAAAGACTGGGGAGTTGGGACAGGAGTGGCGAGGCATTAGATATAATTTCTTCATAAATCAAAACAGCATGATTTGGCATAATTACAAAACCCAAAGTGATAGTTCTCCGAATCTGAAAAGTATGAAGACCAAAAAGGGGGAAATTGATTAGGATGACTAAAGGAGCATAGTGGAAAGAAAGTGAACAAAGGAAACTTTCCCTTATTCAGCCCACACTTTCCTAACAGGTCCTCAAAGGTCTCAATAGAGAAAGACTCAACTGTGCAATAGTCTGCCAAAGAAGTGATGAAAACCCTTTAACTTGAGGAATTTCATACTAGACTAGACAATGTACTTACAAGTATACTTTTGGGGACAATCTTTAGCATTAATAGGAGTCTGGACAACTTGAATTAGGTCTTTTCCATCACTGTTTTCTACAATTGGGCCCAAACTATTTTTATTTTCGTGTTAAATTTTGAAAAATGCAGTCTGTGTTAAGCAATTGCCTGCATCTGCAATGCTTTTCTAACTTTCAAAATGCAACAAATTGGTTACTGCTACAATAGCTTCCATACAGCTATAAGTCTAAATATTGCCAGTTTAGTGATATACATTTTAAAAGCAGATCCACAGGGGGTTACTGACTACCAATACGTAACTAGAAAGTGCTTATAGTCAAATGTTTTTTATATTTCTTAAACTCAGCCCTGGTCTACACTAGACAATTAGGTCGTTCTAGCAACATTGATCAGGGCTGTAGAAAATCCACACCTTCCCGAGCAGTGTAGTTAAGCTGACCTAAGTCCCCATGTAGACGCACTAGGTCAACAGAGGAATTCTTCCAATTGTCCTAGCTACCGCTCTTGGGGAGGTGGATGTCCTACGCCAACGGGAGAATCCTTCCTGTTGGCACAGGTAGTGTCTGCATTGATGCGCTACAGCACCACAGCTGTAGTGTTTTAAATGTAGACAAGCCCTCAGACAACAGTGAAAATCAGTGCAGCTAAAAGCCACTATACAAGTTATTCAAGTCTGCATTTACTGAATATTTTTGTTTGTGAAAATAATCAATGTGCAAAGATCTTGTCTAAAGGCCCTATCTTAGGAACTCTGTACACCTCATAGCTCCTGCATGGCATGAGACATTAGTTCTCTTCCCAATATTAAATCCCGATATCTTTAAAAAAGACATTGATGACATATTTCCTATGGATTTCATATGAGAGGCAACAGCTACTCTTCACCTAAAGGAAAGCACATGTGTGTAATTTAAACAAGTTTCTCTTCCAATATAAACACACACTGGGTGTCAAGGGCCAATAAAAAATACAATTTTCTTTGGATGCTGTCCTTAGGAAGAAGGATCCTCCCAGAATTTGCCTCCACAACTAGTATTGCGGCAATAGGTCTTAACTACAAAAGCATTTTGGTTTGCCCCAAAATAAGATTTTGATTAAAGTGAAGTGCATTTATAACCACACAAAACGTCACACTGATTGAGATAATATTACATGCAAGTGATATTTGAACAGTTTCAAACCACTTTGTACATGATTTCTCCTTATGTAAGATGTATGTTCCCACTCACAAACGTCAAGGGACTAACACAGCTTCCTAAATGAACAAAGACTAGTACCAGAAGAGTTACATTTTAAAAAGCCAACACTTTGAGTAAATTTCAAAGATTTTGAAAATAGAAAAATGGGCCTACTTTATGACAGAACATTGCTCACATTTACACCTGGCTACCACCTAAGAAATCATGGACCCAGACCTCATTTGAAATCAACAAAACTCCAACCCCTCTCCAATAATGAAGAAAACTATGGCAAATAGTATTCCCCCACCTCAAGTACATACTTCTTTATAGCATGTGGTTTATATTTAGCTTCCCATCATTATATGCTATTTGTATTTTTGCTTAAGAAGAGAAGCTTTGTTCTTAAAGTACATTGTTCCTGATACTATATGCTTATGATTCATCTGATAAGACACAAGAAAAAAAAGTAGCATTTTCTGGTGTAGTACTTAGATTCTGCTGGTTCTAAAGTACATACCAATTCACGGATGGGCTTTTTCCTGTTTTTTCCACCCATGTATATTCACTACAGTCATTTCAAATAAGATATTTTGAAATTGCTAACTATTACACCAACAAGCTTTTGACCCTTTCAGGAAGTTGCAGTTACACTATTATATCAATTACCACTGTAGCCATAATTTAAGGGAGCAGATACTTCACAGTCTTTTTTCTTTCAATGAAAAAAAAATTAGAATTGTACTGGAAGATTGGTAAATTATATATCTCAGTTCACCTGTGTGTAACCTTTACATTGCAATGCCTCGACATGCCTTTAATCTGGCCAATTCAACTGTGTGTGGGTATCAAAGGGATGTTAAATTAACTGGGAGACATAAGCCCATTCGCTGATGTTGATAAGAAATCAAGGAAAATGTTGTTTGTATGTTTACATCTGTCTATATCCTATACTCAATTATAGGATCAAAGATGTGTATACACTGCAATTAATATTTCCTGTACTGTCCTCACTTATCTGTCCATGTTTTGATGAATGGCCAGCAATTGCCTAATGTAAATGGGTGTAACTGAACTATTTGTGTATGCATGAGAAGTCGGTAGTTAACTTCAAAGCAAAGGTCGTTGGTTTAACCATGGAGACTCACAAACTGTTTGCATTACCTATTCTTCGTCAGAGAAAAACCCATGCTGTGGCAGTAATCCTCACTGAGCTACTTTCAACTACAAATACTGGACCATGGGAACAATCCTGCTATCTCTGATTCATTTCTGGACTGCTTGTACTCTGGCAGGGAGAGTTCTAAGCATATGGACAGAGATTCCTAGAATTGATTTTTGGGAAGCCCTGAGGACTTATGAAAAGGATTCTAACAGACTCTGAATCTATGCTTTAATCTCTTTAATAACTCATTTCTTTTCTTAGACAATTAATCTTTGGTTAGTTTACTAAGGAGTGGCTAACAGCTGTTTTTGGTGAGACTGGGGGTGAGTGACTGGTCCTTTGGGACTAGAAGAACGTAATGTGTGGTGTTTTTTGCGTTTAATAACCTTACATCATACAGTCCAGGTTGTCTGGGTGATTATAAGGGGCTGGAATGCTAAGGAGGCTGTATGTGACTCCTTGGTAAAACTAATATAGTGATCCAGGGGTACACTTTTGTTACCGGCTTGGTAAAATCTAACTGTAGAATATACCACCAGTTTCGGTGTGTCTGTCCTGTTTTCTGACAGCTTGTCCTGAGTTTGGCATTCTTAGCTGTGACCCACTCTAGGCATCATGACAATATCTACTCTTATTTTTCATAGTTTTATTTCACTGAGTTTGTATTATAGTTTGAGAAGGTTTTTTAAAGCATGCCATTAGAGTTCAAGCAGATGAAGTGGCATTCTCACAGATTTATATTGTAGGGCAAGCTATTCTGGCTGTTCAGTATTTGGCTTTTCAAAGCCACATTTTCAGAACATGGCCACTAACTTAGCACATACAACTCTGCGTATGCACAATTCTGCATTCTATCATTTGACACACACAAATTCTGAATATACCAGTTCTCTCATCCTGGCATGACATTACAAGTGTAAAGATCAGAGTGGATCCTGTTGTGATAACTGGGCCTACAAATTTACCCTAATTCTAAGCTCAACTGTAAAGACTAAATTCATCTAAACAAAAAAATGACCCCAAATTTGGATCACAAGCCTACCCTGCATTTCCATGAGGTATGCCAAGTTTCAAAGCAAGCCGAGTAACCATGCAGATTTTGGAGCACTTAGACTCATCCTTTAAATAGAAAGGGCTTCTCAACCCTAACTACAGGAGAGTTGGTGCTCCACTATGATTATTAACTAAACTTTTTCATTTTTCTTTTATCTGCAGTACAGTATTGTAATGAGCAGAGTCCTGAGCAGGAATGTTATATCTATAGGAATCACTTAAGGCCCAATTCTGCGACTCACTGAATAGTTCACTGAAGCCAATAACTCGAGTAGTGCTCGACAGACAGAACTTAGTCATTCTGTTTCATGCTGTATAATGCACACATAGGTATCCTATGAAAAGAAAATACCAAGGAAATTTGCTTTATTTTTATTTTTTTAAGCAGGAACAATCTGTGAAATGTTAATCAGTTTCTGTTTGGAAGCATTTTATTTTGTTAGAGATGCGTGAGGGTGGGAAAGGGTATTACATATCTGCCTACCTTTGGATCTCTAGAAAAGGCTCCTGCCTTTGGTATAAAAAAATAAACAACATTGGAGTGGAAGGGGCACTATTTCTTTTGAACATGATCTCACAATGAGTTCTGTTTTCATGTGCACTAGAGCTGAATGAACATTTCTGCTGAAGAGGGACCAACATACTGTCAAGCTTAAAAACACTTACAAAGCAAGCAACTAACAGTGTAATTGCCAAACAAGAGTGTTAATGAAAAAGACCTTTCTGGGTGATATACAGAATGGAAAAAAAATACTATAATTATTTGTGAATCAAAAAGTACATAATGTACTTCTGGGCTATTTAACAGTGCTGCTAACCCAAAGTAAGGGTAGCAAGATAGAAAACAGATAATTACTGATTCAGTTTTATGGAAGAATGAATAATATTCTAAACTGTACTCAATGGTTATTTTAACTAGTGCTTTATACAATATCAGAGTCTACATTTAACTGAAAAAGTATCAAAGTTAGGTCACTATCCTGCAACTGGATCCACAAAGGTGGACATCTATGCCCTTACGGCACTCTGTTGGCTTCAGCAGCGTTCTGCGTGAGCTCAGAGGTCTGTCCACAGGGATCCATTTTCAGGATTGAAGCCTACTACTGATTACAGAAATAAGACTGCTGACAGAGGGCTTTGATTCTGTATCCTTGCACAGATGGGTCATAACCTGGTCTCTCACTTTGCACATACAATTTTCCATGCACAGACCTTTCTCACAACAAATTGTATACTAGATAAAAGACACAACTGCACTGTTGCTATCCACTTTAATATAACTTTTGAAAACTTTAAGTGTTTCAGTTACATTTGAAGTTAGTACCTTACCTCCTTCTTTAAGCATTTCCGCATCTCACGGTCAAGGTCATTGCAGTGGCCAAAAAATCTCAAAAAGGTGTGCTAAGTAGTTATGGGAGAGAAAACACAATTTGCCATGTTATATAATTCAAAGTTTCTGCTTGAAAAGCATTACAGCGACTTAGAAATTTATTTGTAGCATATATTGTGTTCTATTCTTCCTTTCACTTCCTCTCTTGTAGAAGAGTGCTGAGTTTCAAGAGAATTTACTCTATCTAAAAATCAGAGCTACTTCTTTGGAAGCGTTGTTACTCAGTTAGGGCCCAAACTTTGATGGTGCTTATCCTTCTGTTTACTTTACTGGGAGTTGTTCAACATGTGTTAGGAGGCACTCAACACATTGCAGGATCAGACTCTTAAATAAGATATACAAATTGAAGTCAGATGCATGGCTTATTGACAACATATTTAAAGCATGTACTTATTAACTTGAAGGCCAATTCTGTAACCTTTACTCACCAAACAGTATAGCTAGTTTCAGTGGAACTGCTCGTGTGTGTAAAAGTCTCTGGAACAGATTCTTCCGACTAGAGAGGTTTGCAACCATTGTGGAGGGGATGTGCTCAATCCCCAGGATAAGGCACAGTGTACACTGCTTCTCCTTCACAGCTCTAACAGGTGTAAATCCAGAACTACAGTTTCAGATTAAACTGCATACCATCCCGGCCACATAAGAGTGTGCTGCTTGTCCAAAATATCTGAAGCTGCTATACAGTGGGAGACTGGTACTACCGAAGTGGACATAGCCCAAAAGAGAAGAGAAGGTAAGCCCCTCCAACCTACCGCTCAGATCAGCCCTAATTTCCCATTTCACCAAGCCCATGACTTGAGACTGCATTCACTCTGGTTAAGAGTCAAATCACGGCAATTTCTGGGGCTTCATATATATTTAAATCTTATCCCATTTCTAAGATACTGATGGGGAAACTATGGCCATTGTTCTGATTGGCTGTCTATAGCTATCTTCCCCAAATAAGTCAAGTGTCTGCCATGAAAGTATGGCACCTAAAGTCAAAACTTTCTGAAGCAATGCCAAAGAGCATTGTCCAAAAATATGCCCGTACCTCCTAAAAGTGCCATTTTCACAGAATGATAATCAAGATGACAGTACCAAGTGGTTTGGCAGTAGAATGCTATATAAGGCCTTGGCTACACTTGCGAGTTACAGAGCAATAAAGCAGCCCCGGGCGCTCACTCCCCGTCCACACTGGCAAGGCACGTAGAGCGCTCTGACTCCGCAGCTACAGCGCTGCTGGTACTCCACCTCGGCGAGTGGAATAATGTTTGCTGCGCCCCCGCTGGAGCACCGCGGCGGCAGTGTGAACAAGGTGTTGCATTATTGCACTGTGATCAGCCTCCAGAAACATCCCATAATCCCCTTAAGTCAAGTGGCCACTCTTGTCATTGTGAAATCGGCTTCAGGAATGCGGAAATGCCCTTTCAAAGCTCCATTTCGGAGAAGTCGGCTGCTTATCAGCTCTGAGAAAAAGCAAACATTTACTGTTTGCTTTGAGTGAGTGGGGGGCGGGGAGGTCTGAACTTACAAGACAGCATGCTGACACACTCTCAGCACCCCAAAAACCAATTCTCTTTCCCCCCACATACACACAACATACTCCCTGTCACACTCCACCCCACCCCATTTGAAAAGCACGTTGCAGTCACTTGTATGCTGGGATAGCTGCCCATAATGCACCGCTCCCAATGCCGCTGCAAGTGCCGCAAATGTGGCCATGCCAGTGCGCTTGAAGCTGTCAGTGTGGACAGACTGCAGTGCTTTCCCTACTGCGCTCTACGAAGGCGGGTTTAACTCACAGCATTCTACATCTGCAAGTGTAGCCATGTCCTAAGACACCCAAATTACTCAAAAACCTACAAAAACTCAGATTCAAAAATACTTGCAACTATAGGCTAGACTGAGTCTGCTTAGTCCACCTTGTGCAGAACACATCCGTAGCAAAATAGAAAGGGTTTGGTACACAGGGATGGCTCTAAAAAAGACTGGCCTTTACCGTAACTCCCTTTATACCCCAGCTTGGTTACCCATGCCATTCAATATGGAGGCGCTATAAGGAGCACAGAAACTGAAAAAGTATGGTGAAGTCCACAGTATTTTAATGAAGAGCAATACATCTCTGCTAAAGTTTAGTATGCATATATTAGCCTGTATGTGTGGCATACAGAGACCATGTTAAATGTTGTTTTCAATAAATCAGGCTAGTAATTAGTTTTACAAAAATCAGCTTCTATGAAGAAAAAGCGTTGACTGTTGAACTCTAAGCTATTTAAAATAGAAACCAGACACTTGCTTCTCGTTTAAATTGTAGCAAATACTTTTATTTGCATTCCTGTGACTTATAAGCAAACATATGATTTATACATATGTGGGGTGGGAGACCATTAATGTGTGTGTGAAGTTTCAGCCAGAGTTACAAATTTCAGAGTTACAGACTCCTGGGAATAGGAAGGGGTTAATGAAGATGCTGACAGACACTTCACTGTAGCAGTGCTATAATTAATTAGTTTATACCTCTCTGTACTTAATAGGAGGGCATCAGATGATATCACACACAGCAATTGCACGTGATAAGCCCTCACTCTCCCCAATTTGTACTCTACTACGAGCAAATCCTGTTTAAAAAAAACCATTTTCATTTTAACTAGTACAGACTTTGTTTAATTCTTAACAGAATATACCCTATATTTGCACTTCAATTTTTGTGTGAGCTCTCATGCTAGGCTTACTCCATTCTTCCCAAGGTGCACTGCTGCAGGCTATCTACTCAACATGAATATTCTGCAGAGCATTTAAGATGCTGTAGTTCACTCACACTGTCACCTAAAGTCTCTTCCTTACATATAAACATTTGGTTCATGGGGTTTCTAACTAAGAAATTTAGTTGACAGACAGAATTAATTCAATAAATTTGGAATGATAAGATTTCCACACAGCCCTATTTAGGGGGAGGGAAGGAATTTGGAAATAAGTGTGTTATGTTACAATACCTCCTACCCCATATAGCCATAACATAATCCCTTTAGCAAAATGAGTTATCTTTATTGTGAATCACGTGAACATACCAATAGCCAACCTCCCTGACTCCGTCCGTCCTGCAAATTGTTTAAGTAAAATATGAATGGGGTCAGACTATCACAAGTGAACACGTCCACACACAAACGGTAAGAAAATTCATAGGTCATGACTGCAATTGTTACCATTAACTAAGCCCCTTTATGTTTAGAATTGGACATTACAGCTTACCTCACCATTATAAAATACCACAACAGCAAACAACTCATCACACAGTATAAAAGGGCCAATATTTAGCACATAAATTAAGCCTTCGCAGGGATGCAAATTTGTTTTTGCGTGGTAGTGCAGTATTATAGCAATAGACAGTTGTTTACAGTATGTCAAAATAGACAGTTTACAAGTACAAAAATGTTATAGATTTACATTTATATTTAGATACGTATAGTGCATCATCCAAGTGCAAACATGTGCTTACTGTATATAGGTACATACATGGACACTAATTATCTTCCAGAGGCTTTAGTCTTCCTGAATTAGAAGAATTCAAAATTCATTTTTTAAAAAGTAAATATTACACTCCTCTGGCTAAAGTCTTTTAGTGTGAGCAACCATTTTTTCCAGTATGGGAAAGAGCTAAATTATTTCTAATGAAGTAGCACAGAAATATTCCCATGCAGATACACTGATTGTCAAAGTTTCAGCCCAAATGTTTTACAACTTCTGTACCACATCTGCCCATTTAGAAATCCAAGCGTTATTTTGCAGTTAGTACAGTTAGTTTAAGTATGAAACAAAAGAAGGCTTTGAAAAAAAACAAATACTGTTCAACTATTAACCAATGTAGATTTTTTGACATGGTACAAAACATATTACAAAACTTCAGCACAGATTCATATTTTTGTATGTCTGTATATACTTAAGATTGAAACACATTAATACAGTAACTCCTCACTTAAAGTCATCCCGGTTAACGTTGTTTCATTGTTACATCGCTGATCAATTAGAGAACATGATCATATAAAGTTGCGCAATGCTCCCTTATAACATTGTTTGGCAGCCACCTGCTTTGTCCACTGCTTGCAGAAAGAGCAGCCCGTTGGAGCTAGCTGATGGGGGCCTGGAACCAGGGTGGACCCGCAGCCTCCCATCAGCTCCCCTAAGTTTCCTGTGCAGCAGCTGCCCAGCAAGCTATCAATTGCTGGGCAGTTCAGCTGTCCCTCCCCCCACTGTCATGTGCTGCTCCTGCCCTCTGCCTTGGAGCTGCTCCCGGGAGCCTCCTGTTTGCTGTGCAGGGGGAGAGGGGAGGGGGAGAGAAGGGGGGTGCTAATGTCAGGGTGTCCCCACCCCACTCTTGTACCTTATCTCCACAGAGCCGGGGGGGAGGGCGAGGGGGACATGACAGGGCTCAGGATGGAGGGAGCTTGCTGGCAGCAGCTGCTGTCTCAACTTGATGATCTACTTAAAAAGGCAGTGTACTTAGAGTGGGGTCAGAGTTCTTAAAGGGGCAATATGTGTGTCTCTCTCTCACACACGGTGTGTATCTTTGTCTCTCTCTGACATGCTGTCTCCCCTCCCTCCATTCCTGTTGCCTTGTAGAGTGTGAGGCTACATTAACAACAACGTGTTAACCCATGAGGGCTCAGCTGAGTGCTAGATCATCATTTAGCAGCAAGGCATTCCCTGGGAAATATCCCACCCTCTTACTCCACCACCTCAACCAAGCTTCACAATCATCATTGCTGTGTACAGTATTAAATTGTTTGTTTAAAACTTATACTGTGTATATATATATATGATGTCTTCTGCCTGGCGAAAAAAATTTCCCTGGAACCTAATCCCCCATATTTACATTAATTTGTATGGGGAAATTGGATTTGCTTAACATCATTTCGCTTAAAGTAGCATTTTTTAGGAACATAACTACAACGTTAAGCGAGGAGTTACTGTATTAAAGGTAATCTCAGAATGTAGTAGTTGCACTATATAGTCTCAGCCTTATTTAATTATA